TTTATTCCTTTACATATCAGTCATCTTCATATTCTCTGCTAAACTAGTCACTATTGAGAATTCTCTCAAAGAGCAATAGCTTCGAAGAAGATACATCAATCCACTTTCATTATGTACTTCATCAATTTCCTTCTTATTTCTTTGATTGTGTCCAATGCCAGCCAAGCATGTTTTGACATCTTTTAGCCTCTGCCTTCGTTTGAAAACTTGATTAACAAAACGTGTCAGTATATTTAAAAACTCAATCAACATTTGCTGAAACTGCTTCTCTAAAGGTTTAGCAACTAAATCAAATAAAACATAAAAACTTTGAAAATAATAATAATGTAGTATACTCACGAGAAATACTGTGACCAGAAGTAGGAACAGGGCATACTTGCTGCTCTTCACTAGACACACCTAGTAATTAAAATTAAAAAATTAAATCTATGATAAAGATGATAACGATAGAATTACCTCTTCTACCTCTGATTGTATCTGCCAAGGCTCGTTCTCCAAGTTCTTCTAATATCTCAGCTAATCTCCTCCATGATGGCTTTCCTTTATCATCAATATTATCCTCTCTCCTCAGCCAGCAAGACAAACATTTCTTAAGACACTGATGAGTATCCCCCCTGCTATCAGTTTTTATCTTCTCAAGAGTGTTCTGTGAGAGGCCAGCTTTCAATCCAAAATCTTCCCATTTGACTTCGGAAAATTGTCCCTGGTCTAGCTCAGTCAATATACTATCCAAGTCATTGATATCTTAAAAGAAAATTGAAACAAATAAAGTCTGATAGAAGGAACATACCTAGAATAGAGACATCTCCACCAACAGCCATCACTGCACAGCCCCACCCCTAGGAATTCAAGGGTGGGGCTTATTAAAATAACAATAAGAATTAATAAATTATTTTAATGATTTATGTATAAAATTCAGTAATTCTTTTAGTTTCACGTCCAGTTGTTCTTCTATTCCGTTATTAATCACATGATAGTCACATGACACCTCATCTAACGCACACTCCGAGGGACCATCATCGACTCCACCCACCCAGCCCCACCCACGGGACCTCCTCACCTCATCACTAGCTGATACTCGTACCAACACACAGCAGGAATAGGCGGGGAAAGGGGCGGGGCCAGTTGAGTAATGAGATTTGAAATACTCTACGTCACTCGGTCTCCGACAATCCGAAACCAACCAAACCGGTTTGTCCTGTTCCTCTGTTGCTAAGTGACAGAAATACCCTGGATCACTCTCCCTTTTCCTCTCTCCCCATTGGATCATCTGGAGACGATGAGCTTCCTTATAAGGAGAAGAGTCCAACAGCCTATCATAATCTAAATTATGTTCCTATTAATTATAAATATTAATTATTACATTATTATTTATTCATTTATTGTTACAATGGAGTATTGTTTCTTCAGTGGAGCTGATAATCTGATGATGCTGCAATCTTCTGGTTTTAACCTAAAAATGTTTAAAAAGAATTATCTATTAATATCAATCATTCAAATCATGATCCATTATGTGAAGCAGTTCCACTAGTTCCATCTCTTACA